TTTTTTTTTTTTTTCCTCATGAGCTCATTGACACCATGTGATTTTCTTTTTTACTGCTCTGCTTCTACTTATTTATTTTTCCTTTGGGAAATTTTATTCAATTTAGTACACAGCCAACACATTCTTCTGTGTTCTTGTCAATGTCCTTTTTTCATAGAGAAGACTTGAAGCACTGTTAGTTTTTTATGCACTAAAGTTTCCACAATAAGATCAAAATGTCACACCCCCAAATAATAATAATAATAATAATAATAATAATAATAATAATAATAATAATAATAATAATAATAATAATAATAATAATAATAATATAGATTGATGAGAAAATACTCAAAAGAAGAAGAAAAATGTGGTAAGCAACATAATATATGTGCACCTGAATATGTAGCTAGCTTTTGTGATTGTTAGACTAAGTTGTTACTGTGTATAAGTGCAGATTAGAAGTAGACTAAGTTCTTCCTTTGATCTAACATTTTACGAAGAGTTCTATCCAAGCCCAATAATAATAAGAAGTAGACAATTTTACCCCGCGGAAGTAGCCTCATTCGATATGTAATCCTACTTTGAGGACCATATCGAAAACTCTAAAATGCATCTTGAGCACGTCTGTACAGCCCGTGACTCGAAATCACAGCAGTGTAAGATTCGGGTTTTTTTTTAGGCATTTTTTCGATAACTTTCACGCCCATCTCCAGGATTCCACATTTTGAATACATGTTGATAAGTGTACAGCATAGCCATGGATCTCTGAGCCCGGTCCTAAAATCGCCAGCTGGGCTGAATCCGAGAGCACGCTGGCGAGAAGCACATGATCAGCCCCTCTCGCCAGATATTAAAAATTGTCTAAACATGCCTTTAAATGGTCTCCGGACAGAGAAAAGCCCACAATTAGCGTGGACCACGAGACCAGTCGTGCTCGACTAGACCATCAAACACCTTGCATTCAAATTCCATGTTCTTTACACATCAAGCACAGTGCCAACTTGATCATTCGACGCTTATTAAACCACATTTTACGCAAAATGCATGAATCATTTCCTTTATGTTTATCGGGCTACTGTCGAGAAGACCGTTAGCGAGCCCAAACTCAATGTCTGATTCCAGCATTGAGTTAAATAGTTCTATACCCTTCAACCAATCTCCACTAGTTCTGTAACCAGAAATCATCGCGTTCCATTAGAACCAAATCGAGCTCGTTAATCCCACGAAACACATGGCGGGCCTCACAAAAAAAAAAAGCCCGATTTCGGATAACAGCCCACGAGCGTGCTGTTGTAATTAAAATCTTAGCCGAGCCAGAAGGAAAAACAACTTTCACATGTACGACCCGCAATGTCTTATCGGGCCATGCAGCCGAAGTGAAGTTATCGGGCCGGATTTCAGAACGCAGCATGCGTTCAAACAGCCGGAATGGGGCACGGAATTCGTGGATTCCGGATGATGGAGTTCCAGAAGAAGACGGTTCGTTGGGGAGTTTCGTCGAACAAGTTGCGTGCGGGGACCAGGACGTTGTTTTTACTATCCGGGTCGCGTAAAACAGGTCGGGAGAGTAGTAGTTATGCATAATCCGCCTGTGGAGAATTCGGGTCGTCGGGTTTGCTTGGGCTTTGCTAGCTGGGAAAGAAGTGTGGTTCGAAATTGGTTTCCAACTTTTCATTTGTTGTGGAGTCTCTCTCTGCAATTGTATACGTTGTGTTTATTGGGTGTCAAAATGTAACCACTAAAATATTTCGAAGAATAAATTAATCGAAGAGGCTGATTAGTTTGTTGAAGTTTGGCTTCTTTAAACAAAAAAACGAGTCTAAATTTTATATAGTAATTCTTAAGTTTACCCAACTCCAAATATCATGTGAAAGTACTAATTATAGGCTACGGCTAAATATTTAAGTCTAACATTAACGGAATAATTCCGTCAAGTTTCTAACTGTGAAAACAATTATTCTCGACGATTACATAATAATCTGTTACAAACTCCGACAGAATGACTCAGTAACTCCAAAATAAACATGTATCATTTCGTGACGGAATCATTTTCCTTGCAAACTTAAAAAGTCAATAAACACATTCAAAAGCTGATGACATTAATTTATTTATCTTTTTGAGAAAATTTAAAAAACGAATAACCGGTTAATTTATCTAAAACCCCGTCTTTGGAACATTTCATCGAACATTTTGCCTGCAAACAAAAAATTACCAAATCCAAATATGCGAATACATCACACAGCCGGGAAAAAAAGCTGGCTTTAATCGGCGGCGGGACTCTTTACACCACCACCCGCACAATAAGGCCTCCACATATCGGCGTAAAACCTCAACGGCCGCCTCAGCGCCTCCTTCCATGCGGCGGCGTCCGGCGGCGCACCCGTCATTGCAACCGAGCTATCCTCCTCCCGACCGTCAACACTCAGCACACGAACCTTACCTGGAAAAACCTTATCCATCGCCTTCAAAGTCTCCGCCATTATCAAACCGCCGTCGATCCTTACATCCTCTGGCTCCACGCACCTCCCGCCGACGTTCACCATCATCCTCCCGCCTCTTTTCAGGCTTCTCTTCAGCCCCTCCCACGTCGCCGGGTCCTGGAGCTCCGGGATCACCCTCCCCTTCCGGAACAGATCGACTATGATTCCGGCGAAGCCGCTCTTCGAGGTGGCGTTCAGGGCGTTCCCCGTGCGGATAAAGACCCGGCCGCCGTGCTTCGTTTCGAGCTTTTCGAGGCCGAAGTACTCCCTGGCAACGGAGATAACCGCCGGATCGAGCTCCCATCCGTGGACGATGGCCTCCGGGTAGAGGTCGAGGATGATTCTGGCGGCCGATCCGGCTCCGAACCCGAGGATCGCGACGGGTCCGGGCGGGAGGATTGGGGGAAGGGTGGCGAAGACGTCGAAGTAGGAGTCCGTTAGGGTTTTGAAGATGTAGGAGATGCTGTGGATGTTTCCTGGGGCGTCGAGGAGGAGGAGGCGGGAGCCGGCGAGGGGGTGGTCGGCTGCGCGGGAGACCTGGAGGACACGGATGTAGTTGTGCCGGGATTTGAATTTGGCTAGGGTTGTTACGTGTTCGATTGGGATTCCACCGTCGTCCGACGAGGCGGTGGTGGTGGTGGTGGTTTGGGGATTCGGTAGCTGGGGATGGTGGGATTTGAGTGGGGGTGGGCGGTGACGGTGGCGGAGTTGGAGGGGAAGCTGGCGGAAGGCGGTGGTAGCGGCGTTGGAGGCGGCGGAGGCGGGGAGAATGGGTGGATGAAGGGGGAATTGGAGGTGCAATTGGGGAGGACGGATTTCTGCTGCTAATGTTAATTTCATGGTCGAGATTCTCATTTTCAGTTTGCTGCCTAATTTCGGTGAAGATAAAAAATATTTCAATCTTTTTATTTCGGCCTTTTTTTTTATTAAGGATTTTTTTTTACGATATTATTGGTTGATAAACTTTGGACGAAATTTGTGACATTAGTGATTAGTGAAGATTTGAATTTTTGCTTTCCACTAGCAGAATATATATAAATTTATGAAAAAGAATTAGTACTTTTTTTTACTCAAAAAAAATAGTACTTATTAGTTATTTATCAATGATTGGTCTAATATTAGGGACCTAACAATGAAATTGGGAAAAAATTACAGTCTCGTTACAAAACTATTTTGATATGTTATTTTTATAAATGTGTATATTTTTACTAGAAAATATCACATTTTAGAAAACCACGTAAATAGAAGTATGACAGTTGATAGTATAACCATATAAATATACATTTTTGTAAATAGAAGTATGACCGTTGATAGTATAGCTACACAAATATACATTTTTGTTCAAATAGTATGACGAGTCAAACCACCTAATATTTATGCTGTCTCACACAAGACGTTGTGATTTACGAAAGCTCAGTATTTGTAAATAGAATCTAAAATAATTAACGATTATGCGTAAATTAGAAGAGAATGATATGTGTTGGTGGTGGCAATCCCTGAATCTGCTTAGCCGAATGAGTGTTTTTGGAAGTTTCAGATATAAAAAATGTTTGGTTGCGGCCTTCTACTTGGCCAGACCAAATGAGTGTTTTTGGAGGTTTTTGCAGTTTTCTTCATTCACCAGCGAAACAGAAAACACAGCGCCTTGCGCAACTATCATTCAAAGATTCAATGTTGCCACCATTGCAATTTTTTAACTTGTTTACAAGCTGTTTGAGGCCATCATTAGTAATTTGTAAATCATTCAGTTAACAGTATATTTTTACATAAATGGTGAAGAACAAGTATTTAACAGCACGCATTAGTCAAGACAGCCGTTCGAAAGGAGGAAATCCGGCGTGTGATGCTTGCATCACTCAAGCTATCTTCTTCAACGGAGATCAATCTATACACTGAGACATATAATAAAGTAGTTAGAAGCGTAAAAAGGAAATTTTTCACATGCACAATCAACGATCGGTTAATTAAAAATATAGTTAAAATACATACATTTTTAGTTAGAAACAAAAACATATTCAAGAAATCACATATTTGTCAATAATGCAATAGCAAATTTTACCTAAATATGATTACTATTACCGGGAAACAAAAAGCTTCAGCAAGAAAGTAGACTGATTGGTTCTAGTGAGTTTCAAATGAAAAAAACATTGCATTTCACGAAAAACTTCTCGAACCAATTCGCAAATGCTGCACACCCTGGCTTTAATACTCAATTTTTTAAAAACAATAGCAGTGATGTGTATAAATGAAACCATAGATGAGTTTAAAAAATTCAACAATCACTTAAGTGCCTACGAAGTTCCCAACTATTTTCTAATGCAATGAAAATTCCTTATAGGCTCTTGATTCCATGAGATTAAATCAATCAAGTCTGATCTTATACATTGGCAGCCTCGAATCTTACCTCAGATTCAGACTCATCGTCCATCTCACCATTCCACATCTGTGGTTTGGCCCTCCATTCCATATTATCATCTATCTGAAAATAGAGATTTTTATCAGAACCTATGCATGAAAGTTACACATCGATTGACAAATTGAAGAGTTTTTTGCCAGAAAAAAATTACCTCCTCCGGAACTTCTGTCACTGGAGGTGCCGCCTGGAACTGTACACTCGGGACGTGCTGCAGCTTAGAGAGTTGATCGAGCAGCATATTTCTGAAATTACAACATACTAGTGAGCAAGATTTCAACTATATTAGAGGTAGTGCAGATAATGTGCAATCGAGTTCCCAGGAAAACCTTTCACCTGATGTTGTCCAGATCTTTCTTCTTATTCAGATTCGGCATATTACTAGGTTCAATGTGCATAGTATAGTCTGGGCCAAAATATTCGAAATACTCGGTGTACGGCAACTTGTTATCTGGCTCCACATCAACTGCAACAGCAGTCTACCACAACAGAATACCAAATTTGGGTAAAAGTATATCTAACAAAATTTCGGTTAATTTTGAATGATCCCGAAACCCAAAAACAATAAAGAAAGGACAATTACAAAAAAATTAGGTTAACCCGAATCCATTTGATTATTTTTACTCCCTTATCAAGTCACAAACGCTCTTTAATCTTTGTATTCGTACAAAAATAAAGAAATAGTAAGAAGATACCTGTACATTCAAACACAACACAGTTTTTCTACATTTAAGCTAAACTTAGAGGGGTAATTTTTCAAAAAGAACTGCACCATAAATTAAAATTAAAAGAACCCATACTCAAACACACAAACACACACCACAAATGAATGCACACACAGACCTCATAACACCAGCACCGGGCAACATTCCTGAGCGTATACCCTCCTCCACCTAAAACCATAAGAGGTACATTAAACGACCTCATGAATCTGAGGCATTCCGCATGGCCTTTCACGGACAGATTAAAGCAACCCAGCCGATCACCGGCCAACGAGTCCGCACCACACTGGAGCACAACTGCCTCCGGTTGGTAAACCTCCATGACTTTCTGGATGATGGGATGAAATAAGCCCCTGAAATTGCTATCACTCAACCCATCACTCAACGGGACATTAAGCGAATAGTATTTCCCCTCAGCAACCCCAATGTCCTTGATGTGTCCAGTACCAGGGAAAAAATCGCCAAATTTATGAAAAGAGACTGTCATCACTCGGTCTGTGGTATAGAAGGCTTCCTCAACACCATCCCCATGGTGAACATCAATGTCTATGTAGAGTACACGCTGCCAAACAGTAAACGCAAGTAAAAAAATCGTGCGAGAAATGAGCGATTTCAACACATAAAATCATGGCAGCTTCTGAGATGAAGATTGTCCAGCACACATGATGAGATTGTTATGATATCACCAAGGCAAAAATCAGGGCACTCAAAACAATTTTCCTCTGGAAAATGTAAACATGATGAACATACACAATATCTAGGTTCGCTCCATATGCAATTTGAAGACGTTAATTAGGGATTCGATTCCAATATCAAATGAATGATGAAATTACTCTTAGTAAAAGTTCTACAACAGCGTGAATGTGAAACTCCTCAACAAAATCAACGGATTTCGAATATATTCCTAAATTTAAATGCATGAGGTAACACCATTACCCTGTGAACCTTCAGCAGCTCGAGAATCCCCAGCACGATGTCGTTAACATAGCAAAACCCAGAGGCCTCCCCCTTCTTCGCGTGATGCAAACCCCCGGCCCAATTGATGGCAATATCGGCGTCCTGCCTGTTGAGCTTGACGGCGGCGCCGATGGATCCGCCGGCGGAGGCCTGGCAGAAGCCGAATAGCCCGTCGAAAACAGGGCAATCCGCGCCGACATTGAACCGCTTTAGGTGGCGTGAGTGCGGCTCGTCGTTGAGCGTCTCGGGGGTTACGGACGCGAGGAAGTCGACGTAGTCCGGCGAGTGGAAGAGGCGTATGACCTCGGGATCGGCGGGGAACGGGCGGCATATGTCCATGCGCCGGTGGAGAGAGTAGCTGACGACCAGATTGTGCGCCATACGGATACGATGAGGCTTCATCGGGTGGCCCTGGCCGTAGTAAAAATCGCCGACAGTTGGCTCGTAGAAGTAGGAAACGCGCCGCTTCCGCGCGTCGGGGCAGGAAGAGGGGAGGGAGGCGCCGCCGCCAGAGTCCATCGTGGTCTCTTCCGCAGCCGAGTATGAAAAAAGCAAAGGAGGCAAAGTAATCAAATGAAAGGGATCTAAATGGAAATAGTATAGAACGATGGGGTTTATATGGTGTTTTCAATATACTTTGTGCAGTTTTCTTATATATGGCAGTTTCTTAAATAGCGTTGTATATAATAAGCTAGTTGAATATAAAAAATTATTATATAAAAATATTGTATATCTATTTATTAATATATAATAAGGATTAACATAATTTATTTTTAGAAATACATTCCCGCTAGTTTCATTAATTATTGCCTAAAAGTAGTAAATTAACAAAATCTTTATTTATTAGCATACCTTTTTTACCCAATTTTTTTTAGAAATACAATCAAAAATATGGAATCAAAATCAAAATAAATCAGGGAAATGGGCGAATCCGAGCTCCTAATCTCAAGAAATACACTTATCATACTTAATACACTTAATTTAAAAAATACACTTACCATACGTATTTTTAAAATTTTTTAAAATACAAATACTCTTTAAAACATTTAATTAATAATTATCAATTAAAGATTTTTTTTAAGAATCAATCATATTTCTAATAATTGTTAAAAATAATTTATAGATATATATTATTATTTACGTGAAAGTAACATATATGTTACTTATATGTATGTTACTTATATGTTAACATATATGTTAATCCTATATAATAAGGATCAAATTTAGAAACAATTTTCCGCCACTTTCATTAATTATCTCATAAAAATAGTAAATCAGATTTTCTCGTTTTTTTTTTTATTAATAACATCGAATACTTTTATATTGGTAAACAATAAGGAATCAAAATTCGAATAAATCTCCTATTTTTCCAAACAATTTGGAAATCCGAATAAATCATGATTTTAGAAATCGTAATTTCCAAACAATTTGAAAATCCGAATAGATCTCCAAGGAAAATCATGATTTGTATATATCATGATTTTAGAAATTTGTTCAAAATTTTCTTTGCATGAATCTGAATCATTATTCATTCAACTATTATTATATTATTAAATTGTTTGAAACCGCATGCTAAGATTTGTATATATCATATTTCTAAAATCATGATTTGTATATATCATCTTTTCACCAATTAGATTTTTTCTTCATTATCGATTTGAAAAGAAAAACGAATTTTATATACCTTATCGGTTTTGATAATACAATGTTATAATCATTATCATTATTTATTTTAAAAGATAGTGTTTGTCATTTATTTGATTTCAAAAGATGAAAAAATTTTCATAGTTTAGGTCTCTTTTTATTTATGCATTTAAACAAATTAATTTCAAAACTCTAATAACGATTAGCAACAAAATTTGTTATATATTGATTCAAGCCAACTAATTAATAAAACAGTCCATTAGTCACAAAATTAAAAAATAGCACACGATCACTACATTTCAAAAATTAAGTTTTTTAGATAAGCATTCATTTATATTGTCATGACGATAAACAAGAGTGAGCGTCACACTTAGAAATTTGATGATTTCAACTGCTATATTTTCAATGGTTTTTTTACCGTATGAATTTCCGTTGGCATATGCAAATTCCATTAGAATTTTTGTTTCCACCCCGTTGAAAATTTCACCGTTGGAATCGTCAAAATCCAATAGAAATTCCAATGGAAAATTCATTCCAACGAAAATAATAATATTGAAATATCCGTTGGAATTGTCGTTGGAATAATTTCTTTTGAAATAGATTTCCATTGGAATTTTATCATTTTATTGTAGTGTGCCCAATAATCAAACTAATAATGTTGTTTACAATTAGGTTTTTAATAACATATGACTTTTTCATACCCAAACATTTTATGAGCATTTTCCGCTCAAAACATTAATTACCTACTATAGATGGAAATAATATAAAATTATCTAAATAAAAAAATAAATCATTAATTGAATAATTTTCATATAACTCGAGTTTCGGTTTGTGTTTGATTTAGTAAATCTTGGTTTTTTCTTTAATTACGTTAATAGTGGTTTTGTAGGCAAAGATTATGTAAATAATTATATGTAGCCGATTTTGGAACTCTTATATGTTGAATCAAAAAGTGGGGCTGCGCCCACTACTTTTGATAGCAGCCTTTGGAGACTTTTGATAGCAGCAAAAGAAGAAAATTGCAGGCTGCTGTTTTTGAAAAAAATCAGTACGCAATTGTGGAAAAATTGGTACACTTCCCATCTATAAATAGATGGGAGTCTGATGAGCAAATACAACAACAACAAAAATACAACAACATTTCAAGAGAAAAGAAAGAGAGAGGGAGCTAAAAATAATTAGCCTTTGTGTGTATTTTTTGAGTTGTGAGTTGTGAGTGGTTTCGAGAGTGTTTTGTAAACACGAGTGTATTTCTTTTTCCTAATAAAATATCTGCAGTAGTCCGGAGACGTAGGCATTATTGGCCGAACTCCGTTATCAATTTGGTGTGTCCAATTTTTCGTTTTTATTTCACTTTTATAGATCCGACTTCATGGAAATTTCAGCGTATTTTTCCCAACATTATATATTTATCAAGGATTCTTTTTTATTTTAACAGATTTATTAGAATCATTAATTTAGATTAGCATATATGTTACATACACACAAAAAAAAAAAAACAATTTTATAGTAATATTTAAATTTACATGGCGTCAATTTTGGAATTCTCATTTGTGAGGATTCTTTTTTATTGTATCATATTTATTGGAACCAACAATTACAAATATAAATTTATATTAATATCTAAATATATTTATATTTAATATTTAAATATATTTTTCATTGTAGCAGATTTTGAGAATGAACGATTTTATATTAGATATATACGAATCATTTTTTTTTTCGAGATATACACCAATTCCCTTTATTAGTATTCTTTTTGTCAATTATTTTTCAAAGGAAAATTTTCAAAATTTTGTATAGTAAATCGATTTTTTATTTTTGTATACACAAAATATAAATTTATTGCAATATATATATGTATATATATGTAATATATATATATAATAGGAAAGTGTTTGTCATATATATATATAATATATATATATATAATATATAATATATATATATTTCAATATATATATATATAATAAATTTACTACCTAAAAAGTTGTCACACATATAGTAGGAAAGCTGTCCAATTAAAAATTGTTCAGTTTGAAAATATATAACAAGTTGTCACACATTCAATTAAAATTGTTCGGCTTGAAAAAAATAGCCTGAAGTAATGTCTAATTACTAATGTTTTATATTTTATATCTACTATATATAATCTCTCTCATAAAATTAGTGTGATGTAATATTTAATGTTTTGTATTATTCATACATATTTTTGTAGATATACACCAATTCATTTGTCCAGCTGTTGTATAAATTATCATATTATAAATAGATCCATCTTAGACTTCCATTTAAGTTCCAGCGGCACCAGTTCATTCTGATTTTGGGGTTCTATTTAACAGTCATGGTTAATCTTTTTGTATAAAAAAATATTAAAATATTAGTAAATATTATATAGCTAATATTTACGTGTAAGTAATAGATAAGAGATGTGCATTGGCATGTTCTTAAAAAAAAAAAAAAAATTGATCACGGCCAATTGTATGTTGTTACCTGTGTAAGTAATAGGTCAAGAAGAGTCAATGTCAACATTTATTGTACGTTGACATGCTAAGTAATAGATCAAGAAGAGTCAAGGTCAACATTTATTGTATGTTGGCATATTTTTAAAGAAATCAGTTTTTAGTCACAGACAATTATGTTGTTTGTTTCGCGTGTAAATAATAGAAAAGTGTTAAGAATATTAGTTTGTGGGGACGAAGAGTGGCTCAGTTATTGAACAAATAATATCGTGTACAAAAAAGTTTAAATAATATATTTTTTTGCATGAGGAACATTTTATGGTTTGCTAATTTTCCTACGAATTATCACTCTTTTATTTATTAATACATTTTAATTTTTAATATTTCCAAAGTAAATACAGCCCGTGCATCGCACAGGTTACATACTAGTATATATATATTTATACTTGTATATAATAAAAATAGATGGTTGAATCTAAAAATTATCATAATATTTGAATGAACTTAAAATACCATCTAAAATTATTTCTTACAAATGTTTAATATAAATATCATAATATAAATATTTAAATAATGAAGCGAATATACTAAAAAGTAAAACAAATAATGAAAATATAATAATATAAGTCGTAATCTAATTTTATTTGTTCGCAAATTCATTGTAATTAATTCTTTATTTAATTACAATTTAATTCTAACCATCATATCTAGACTTTTTATTTTTAAATTTAAATGTCAAATACCAAAAAATATAATGATATAATAGACCTGAACTGATATTTTTAGGACTTTGTATTTTTAAACTTTTAATCTGAAATCATAATTAAAATTTTAGCTTTTAGTTGTCATTTAAAAATATAACACTAATCCCCAAAAATTACAAGTTTTTGAATTTTTTATTGTGTAAATGTCGTTGCAGAAATATGGTGCAAAGTAGCGTAAAATAGCCCAAAATAACTAAAAAATGTATTATTTCATCATTTCGCGAAAAACGTTAAATATATAAAACTTTGTCGTGTTTCTTAGAGAGAAAAATAAAAAATTACTACACGAACTATAACAAGCTAATAGTGATATAGGGCTTATTTAGTTAGGTTCCGAACGAGTTGAGCGGTTCTTGCGTTCGAGCCAATGCTCACTCGAGCTCGAGCAGTTCGATAAATGAGTCAAGTTTCGAGCATCATTTCAAGAGGATCGTAAGCTTGACAAGTCGCTAATATTTTATTTACATAAATAACTCAATATAGTTAAATTATCAATATTAGAACACCAAAATCAAAATTGTCTATTTAGATAAAAAATTATACATTTATATTTAAAATTTAGTTGTTAATTTTGAGCCGTACTCGAGTCGTGTCGACCATCGAGTCGAGCTCTAGCATTATTTTTTTGTTTTTCACAAATCGAGTCGAG